ATATGGCAAACAGACTCGGCTTTATCGTAGACTGCTGCCTTGCAGGTCGCCCAGTTTGCGCAGAGGTAAGCACATTTCTCAAAGTCTGCAACACCTCTAAACACCTTCTCAGTTGGTCCCCGGATATCAGTACCCGGGCAAACAGTATATCGTTTCTAGAACATCCCTTCTTAGCATGTGATATCGCATCGCAACTTCTCACGTGAACTCACCTTGTTTCTTCCGTACGTCCATTCTCCTGCAGGGCAGCGGGCAATGTTAACTTGCTCAGCCTGAACTACTTGATAACGATCGTTGGCAACCCAATTCAACCCCGCGATTTCCTTGAAGTGGCAGTCCTTTGTCCGTGTATCGTAAACGGCTTTGAAGCAGTCCATGCTCTTGTCACAAAGCTTTGCACATGCTGCGACAGAAGCGACTTTGGGTGTCACTGAGACTGTAGGACCAGTGAGGTCGGTTCCCGGACATACTCGGTACCTAATGCCCTGGGTACCGGTAAAGACTGTGTCGGTGCCGGGGCACGCATTAAGAGCATTAGTAGATTGGAAAAGAATGGCTGCAGAAAGCACTGCGAGAAGGGTTTGGGACTGCATCCTGGATGTCAACACAGAGTGCGGTGCCTGGAGACGTTTCCCAGGGCAGGGCGCCAACCTGCTATATAGCTGTGTCGATATCCCAACTACCGATTCAATATTTTGACGCACGCCGGGCCACACGAGTTTGCGAAAGTGGGTAGTGGCGAGACATGGAACGGAAGGGCTGTTGTCCTAGCATCGGAACAGGCAAAGTAGGTACCAGGAAGGGCAATGTGCCTGAGTAAAGCTCCTTGCAGACGATCATTCACATACCGTTGTTTTGTTATGGTCGATAGCGCTAGGTGACTTTGGGGTAAACTGTCAGGGGTTCATTCCATCGGTAGCGGGCCGAAAATCCAAACTCGGCTAGGGGCGATACTATTGTCGGTGGCATCGACCTCCCTAGAGTCATGCCGAATGCTGCGCCTCAGGAATCACACCAATCTTATCTACCATGAGAAGGCTAGCTCACGCACCGAAGCAATGCCGGCAGATGTTACTGGTTCATGCTATAATTCCCAAACTTTTGGGGAACTACACTGGCGCAATGGTGCTTGCATATCGATGTCACTGTGGCTGCAGCCGCCATATACTGCGCGAGACGCTGTCGTTATCGTCACGATGGTGTTAAGCGCTCGCAAACGGATGATTTTGTTTTCCTGCCAAGTTGCTTGAAACGCCAAGGCAACCCTCCAGTCAATCCCTGCGTACATCAGGGTGACGATGGCTACAAAGAGAATCTTTAGCCAGATACCCACCGCTGGAATATTGCCCCTGTCCCTTCAGTAGGAAGGATGTGCAGAACACGCCATTGGATATAGTGTGTAGCCGCATACCCAGACCTATACTCTGCCAAGTAAGAGCCGAGCCCACTCTGGCTGACGCAGTTCGTACTGTAACAGTGTATTGTGACGAAAGACTGACGGAAACACGAATAAGAGGCCGCATGTTTGCTTCCGGGGTCGATTCCTGTGTGCGAGATGGAGACCTGGTAGCGTTCAGTCCATCGAAAACTGATTTACCAGATACGAGCCTCTTGGTCGTAGTGAGAACCAGTCCACCTGGTGGCAGAAAATGGTATGCCATCATAGATCAGGTAGTGTGTAACGCTGTCATGCTACTTGGAGCGTATCCTTGGCGCTGAGAAGTAGTTCTTAGCCGAGTAATTTTTAGGAATTAGAATTGCTCTAAATTTGCCGCAGTCAGGCCGGGTCTGATCTCCTCGGCCAGCTTCCTAGCAAATCCCTAGCAAGGTCTGGTCACATAGATGAACACCTTTGTTTCAATTGGATTGAGTCCCAGAACATCATGTTCACCAATTCTGTTCAGGTACCGCGCCCCAATTCGGCGCTGACCAGGCCCACTGCATGTTGTTGAAGCTTGTCGAAATTTGCGCAGGTGCCATCGAGAATGTTTCAGTCGGACTGTAGCATGGGCCAGTGCTACTTAGGTCCATAAGCCCGGATACATACCGAATACCACCCGATTCTAGAGTCTCACAAGATTCCATCTCTCTTTCACTCATACGCGATAATCTTTGTGTGATGTACTTAACAAGCAAGGGTGGCTCGGAGTGTATGGATGCTGCTTTACGCGCGTCCCATGCTTGGAGTACGAGCTCTGAGAACATTGCGAAGAAAGGATTTCTAGGCCTCGATTCCATGGGATTGTCCTTATTGTGGAGGTCCACAAAGCGAGTAGAGCAATTGTCGCTCATGGCTTGCCAGGCCAAATCCGCGTGGTTTGACAGCGGTCGTCGTTTCAAATCTTGGATTAAGTGGACGTAAGCGGGGAAGGGAAAGTGTAGGTATATAATCCATCGGAAAGCTTTGGTCAGGGGGGAGCCCATCAGCATTGTATCGCATTCCAGCATGGTGCGAGCGTGTGTAAGGCTCGCACCACGTTGTTCGTCGGTCTCATTCTCGGGATTCGGCGACCGTGTTGCCAAGTAGTGCGCAAACCGAGTTTTTGCAAAGAAGACACGCGTCCACCATATTGTCATAAAGTGCAGCGGGATTTGGGGATCACATTGCGAGAGGTATTTGCTCTCCAAGACGGACTCGAAAAGTGCAATATCCTCTAATTCCGAGCAGGAATCGGAATGGGGCTTCTTCACAAGATTCTTCATAATTGGGTTGATGAAGTCTAGATGAGAAGGATTGTGCCGGATGAAGTCGCCAAGCTTGCAGCGCACTACGGCGAACAATGCTTCAGATATATTGCTGGTATCATTAGGTGGAGTCTTCATTTCATTGCGCAGGCTGAAATCGTTTACGTTGTGGGGAGTGTGGCAGTCCCACGTAGGTATGAGCGTAGCCATCTTGAAATCCGTCATCTCTGCGATGCGGCTGTCAAAAAGAACGAGGGACCACCACAACCGACGTCGCTGATGAAAGTCAGCATCAAGAGATATATGTGTATCTTTACATACCAGTTCGGCCTCAAGAACAGGATGTCTCGCATTTGTGGCCTCTGTATCGATGCCCATGCGCTGAGCAATACGAATTGCAGTGCCTAGCAGGGACGACAATGAACGTGGGTCAACCTCGGGCTTGAGCGTAAACTGAACTCATCAGATGACTACTAGATGGCAAGCCAAATCTTTCTGTAACTCACTAAGTAGAGATGAAGGGCAGCCAAGCATTCACGGTTGCTAGATTTTAGGAATCCGCAATTGAGCAATGCTTCCCTGGCCCCCAACTGGTAGCCCCTGAGAACCTCGACTCTAGGCGCACCGAACATGGTCTGACATTGATCTTGGTCAAGACTAGAAACAGCCATGCAGTATATTGCAAACATGAGAGCTTCCAAGTTGGGCTCGATTTTGGTCACATCGCCAGCAGCATCGATGATGCGCGCTTGGAGAGTAGGGGTGTGTGTGAGCTTCAAGAGTGGGTCTACGTTTTCCAAGTATAGCTGCCAAAGTTTGAAGATTTGCGTCTGAGATGGATGGAGAGCCGAGAGCTCGACTCCGACAGTTGGTGAGCAGAACAAGAGGTGATCATTACGGTATAGTCCCTCAGCGAAGAGGTCGTCCCATGCCTTGACGATTTTTTGTGGCTCAAGAATGCGGTCTGCAGGGTCAGTTTCATCAGACTCATCATCACTTTCCTGGCTTTCGCCATCATATGGATACTGCAACTTTGCACGTGTCAGTGCAATCACTACAGGGGCCTGTACAAGCTCACCTTGCGCACCATAGCACGCCAAAAACTCCTGAGCAGATTAGTAATACAGTAGTAGTTGGTTTAGGGTGAGCCCGCATACTTTGCTTGAGTAGACTCGGTCACCAGACTTGGGCGTGATAGCTCGGTAATATTATGGGCAGTGTCTTTGACCTGAGCCCCAGCGACATGATTACTACCCATAGGATCTGGGCCGGAATAGCGTTTTGCCTGAGAGGCATGTAGCGGTTCGAAGGGAATATTGTGCTCTGTCAAGAGACGCTCATAATGGCGAAGACGCTCCAACAACTCTCGCTCAGGGAATCTGCGGCGTCTCTGACGAGGAATGGTTGCGGCAGAGATACATTGGACCCCTGCTTTTATACAGTTTGAGCATGGAGATGTGCGATCACATTTGACTTTGCGTTGAGCGCACAGAATGCATGAAAGAACCCGCTGTGGCTTGGCTGCGGGGGCGGGTAGAGGTGGAGGTGGAGGTGGAGCAACAGCACCAGGCTCAGGCGTGGGAGAGTCCGATGACATTGTGTGACAGGCAAGCTTCGTGCCAAGACGGAGATGAGGTGGATGAGAGCCAAGAGCAAAGAGAGTTCATCGAAAGTTCATCAGGGGTCGGCGGTGTTGAGTATCAGGCAACCACTCCGGCCTGCTAGACCCGAAGCTGCTTATCTCCGGCGCGCGGGTGCTTGTGTGCAGAAGACAGCAGGTGTCGTTTCCAGAAGAGGCATTATTATCGACAGACGCCCATTATCAGCAACAAGCTAGTTAGATGCGCCATGGTGGTGATGGGGACCGTGTTTCTCAGCCACATCAGGTGGCGCGTTATTGAGCAATGGTACATGCGTATGTACGTACATAACATGTGTATTATAGAAGAGTATGGGCTTGGCACGGCGGGTAAACGGCACTCGTCGTAAGCACATAGGGGAACAGTAAGTATGTGCTTACTCGCCTTTCTCTCCATGCAAACAGATACATGTATAGATAGTGTTACATTGGCGTCAGCAATACTTATGGCGGGGTCCAAGGCGTATATTCTGGACCGGCAATAGCCGTTGGCGGTGCCTTTGCATTGTTCTCCATCCCCGCCATTATCACCCCCCAGGGCCCGACATCGGCCGAGATGTGGATAGCAGGGAGTAGACCCTACGCGATAAAATGAGATCAACCATTATTATGGTATTGTCATGCGGGAACGCAACCAGACCATTTCAACGCTGGAATCGGGCCTTTAGCAGGCAACATGGCGTTTACCGTACTATCCGACGCTGATATCAAGTCTCTTCTTTGCAACCTTCGCCCAGCCGACGCAGAGAAGCTCACTTCACGCCTCAACCAGGCACTCTGCCAATACTCGTGCAATGACGAAGCTCCCTACCAACCACACCGTGCCCAGGTCACGCGTCTAGATGGGCAGGTCAGTTTGTTCATGCCCGCCACGACACCTTCATCCATTGGTGTCAAGATTGTGGGTGTCGCCCCATCCCAGGCCCCGCCTCCGGGCGAGAAGCCCAAGCCTGCGCTGAAGAGCGTCCTCACAATCTGCGATGAATTAGGCCAGGCCGTGGGCGTGCTGAATGCAACAGAGCTGACTGCCTTTCGCACTGCCTTGGGAACCATGTTGTTGTATCGATATAGGAAATCCACACAAAACATAGTCGTGTTTGGCGCGGGTAAGCAAGCCGAGTGGCATATTCGACTTGCCGTTCTGCTTAAGAGCAACGACATCAGCAAGATTACCATTGTAAATCGGTCTCGAGCCAGAGCAGACCAGTTGGTCGAGTCGTTGACAAGAGCGGGACTCAGTTCGCATATCCAAATCCGAGTCTTTGGGGGAGATGAGGATGCGTTGGAGAGTCTGGTCAAGGAATCGCAGATCATGTTTTGCACAACACCCAGCACTACGCCTTTGTTCCCTGCTTCGTATCTGGCTTCGGAAGCAGATAAACCTCGCTTCATCTCCGCCATTGGCTCCTACCGCCTCGACATGCAAGAGATTGATCCCGATCTCCTCAGCCAAATCACCACTCCTTCTAGCCTCTTTGCCTCGCAAGTTCACAACGCGTGCATCGCCGTTGACAGCATCAAGGGATGCATGGATGAAGCCGGAGAGCTAGTCAAAGCAGGCATTGCTACGGAGAGAATGATAGAGGTAGGAAAGATGGATGGTTTGAGGCAAGACGATAGGGTCAAAAGGTGGCTGGAACAAGGGTTTGTGGTGTACAAGAGCGTGGGCGTGGGGGTTATGGACATTGCAATCGGCAAGGCCCTGCTGGAGCTGTCAGGGGAGAAGGGGGTAGGGGTACGCGTAGACAGCTTCTAAATAAGAATACCATACATGCAAAACAGCATTCGATGCATGACGGGGAAAATATCGGGTCTGCTACTAGTGCCAGAATGGTAGTAGTGTCCATCTCTCCGACATACGGGCGGGGCAGTCCAATGGCGTCGATTCAATTTTGCCCCGCCGAAATTTTTGGGAAGACTTTCACCCCACCATGTGACGACGCGCCCGCCCTCGCTTTTGTCTTCGGACACCCCGCGATTCCCATTCTACACTTTCAATTAGGCGGCACACACGATGGCGTCGAACGAGGATCCATACCTCATTCTTCCAGGCTCGGCCGCCCACTCCGACTTCCGCCTACAGCGCCTGGCGCAGGCAATCGGCGCAAAGCAGGTCCGCTCGCTGTGGCTGCATTTTGTCAATCCCCTCAAAGAATTGGCCGAGGACGAGCTCAAGACGCTGCAGCAAATTCTTCACTATGGCGAGTATCCAGATTCGAACGACCGCCTTGCACAAACGCTCTTCGATGCCGTCCACCGTGGCAGCGAGCCGTGTGACGGCGAGACGGTCCTCTTCTACGTCAGCCCACGCGCGGGCACAATCTCGCCATGGAGCTCTCTGGCCTCAATGATTGCACGCACATGCACCCTTGACCAAGCGGTAAAGCGCATCGAGCGTGGCATGGTCATCGCCGCCACTTTTGATCGTACCCTAGACGCCGACGAGATCCCCAATCGCGACCACCTCTACGACCGCATGACCCAGACCATCAGCCGCACTGCGCCCAATCTCGAGGCCATCTTCGGCGAGGGAGAGCCTGCGCAGGCGACTACCATCAGCTTCGACGAGTACCACAGCGCCCATGCCGCCCTGGACCATGCCAACAGGGAGCTGGGGCTGGCCATGGACAAGTCAGAGATCGACTACCTCGTCGAGGCATACACCCAGGAACTGAAGCGAGGGCCTGTAGACGTCGAACTCTTCATGTTTGCCCAAGTCAACTCGGAGCACTGTAGACATAAGCAGTTCAATGCCGACTTCACCATCGATGGTATGCGCAAGTCCATGTCACTATTTGGAATGATCCGAAACACACACCAGAAGAACCCCCAGCACGTCGTCAGTGCATACAGTGATAACGCTGCAGTACTGCAGGGTGAAGAGGCGAGCTTCTGGGCGCCCAACGACCTTACGGGCGAGTGGAACGGCGCAAAGGAAACTGTGCATATTCTCTGCAAAGTCGAGACACACAATCACCCAACTGCAGTATCGCCATTCCCTGGAGCTGCCACCGGCTCTGGAGGCGAGATCAGAGATGAAGGAGCGGTTGGACGTGGCTCTAAGCCAAAGGCGGGCCTGGCAGGCTTCACTGTTTCCGATCTCAACCTTGAGGGTTTTGAAAGGCCATGGGAGCTCAAAGACGTTGGAAAGCCTGCGCACATTGCCAGCAGTCGGGACATTATGCTCGAGGCTCCAATCGGCAGTGCGCAATTCAACAACGAATTTGGTCGTCCATGCACTGTTGGCTACTTCCGCACCATGCTCATGCGCGTCTTCACAAACGAAAAGGAGTCCGAGATCCGAGGATACCACAAACCCATCATGTTAGCAGGTGGTGTAGGTACAGTCAGGCCGCAGCACGCACTCAAGGACCCTGATGTTGTGCCCGCTGGCTCGCATCTCCTCGTTATTGGTGGCCCCGCCATGCTCATTGGTCTCGGTGGTGGTGCGGCTTCTAGTATCCAATCTGGAGAAGGCAAGGTCGATCTTGACTTTGCTAGTGTGCAGAGAGGCAACCCCGAAGTCCAGAGGCGAGCACAGGAAGTCATTGATACATGTCGCTCCATGGGTGACAAGAACCCCATCCTCTTCATCCACGATGTGGGCGCAGGTGGTCTGTCCAATGCTCTCCCCGAGCTTGTCCACGACTCTGGCCTTGGCGCCATCTTTGAGCTGCGCGAGGTAGACAGTGCTGATAAGAGCATGAGTCCTCTGCAGATTTGGTGCTGCGAAGCTCAAGAGCGATACGTACTAGCAGTTGCTCCTGATCAACTAGACCTCTTCAAGCGCATCTGCAACCGAGAACGCTGTGGTTATTCGGTCGTTGGTACGGCTACCAAGGAGCAACGCCTTGTCCTGAAAGATAGGGACTCCAAGGAAAACCCGACTCCCATTGATCTTCCCATGGCCACACTATTTGGAAAGCCACCCAAGATGTCGCGTATTGTCGAAAGCCGAAAGTTGAGACTGCCAGCCTTCGACAGCAGCTTGTCAATGTACATTCCCGACACACCCAAAGATGGCTTGATCAACGAAGCTGTCGACCGAGTGCTCACCCTTCCAGCTGTAGGCTCAAAATCGTTCCTCATAACCATCGGAGATCGAACAGTTGGCGGCCTCACGGTCCGCGACCAGATGGTTGGCAAGTGGCAAACGCCTGTGGCTGATGTTTCGGTAACAGCTACGTCGCTGCTAGCTGGAGTCAAGACGGGTGAAGCCATGACAATGGGTGAGAAGCCTACTCTAGCTCTCATTTCTCCAGCAGCATCCGCAAGAATGGCTGTAGCCGAGTCCCTCATGAACATTGCTGCAGCTAGTCTCTTCGACAGGCTCTCTAGGGTCAGACTCTCAGCCAATTGGATGTCTGCTAGCAGTCACCCTGGTGAGGGTGCGGCTTTGTATGAGGCAGTGGAAGCCATCGGAATGGATCTCTGTCCCAAGCTCGGCATATCCATCCCAGTTGGAAAGGACTCTATGAGCATGAAGATGAAGTGGTCAGAGGGCGGAGAGGCAAAAGAAGTTACCGCACCAATGTCCTTGGTCATCACGGCTTTCGCACCTGTTGACCGGATCGATCGCACATGGACACCTGCATTAGAACGCTTTGAGGGCGTTGGTGAGACTATTCTCATGTATGTCGACTTGGCGGCTGGCAAGAAACATCTCGGCGGTTCTGCTTTGGCTCAAACGTTTGGTCAGGTCGGCGATGAGGCGCCTGATGTCTATGACGCCGATGTCATCAAGGACTACTTTGATGCCATTGATCAACTCCATGAGGCTGGTATCGTACTCGCCTACCACGACAGATCAGACGGTGGTCTCTTCACAACGCTTGTCGAGATGGCTTTTGCCGGACGATGTGGCCTTGAAATCATGCTGGACCATGTCGCGGCATCGAGCGAACCCAAGGACGTCTTGGAGGCGCTTTTCAATGAAGAGCTTGGTGCTGTCTTCCAGGTCAGGAAGCAGGATGAGACTGCTTTCAACCGCTGCTTTGCCACCTGCGGACCGCCACCAGGCATGATCAAGAAGATAGGTCGGGTACCTGAGGCCTCGAAGCAGGACATCTCTTTCTATGTCGGGACAAAGAACGTCTACCGGAACAGTCGGCAAAAGCTACAACAGCGTTGGGCAGAGACTTCATACCGTATGCAGAAACTCCGTGATAACCCTGTCTGTGCCGACGCAGAGTTCAGTAGCATTCTCGACGACAAGGATCCGGGTCTATCATACAACCTGACATTCAAGCCTTCTGAAAATATTATGCCTCTCATGTCCAATCTGAAGTCGCCTTTTACGGCTAAGCCTCGTGTGGCTATCCTAAGAGAAGAGGGTGTGAACGGCCAAGCTGAGATGGCATTTGCTTTCCATCAAGCTGGCTTCTCAGCTATCGACGTACATATGACTGATATCATCTCTGGTCGTGTATCACTGGCCGGCTTCGTAGGTCTTGCGGCATGTGGTGGTTTCTCGTATGGTGACGTACTTGGTGCTGGACAAGGATGGGCAAAATCTGTGCTCCTCCATCCCGAAACACGCAAGGAGTTCCAGGACTTCTTCACACGCCCTAACACCTTCGCCCTCGGTGTCTGTAATGGCTGCCAATTCATGAGCAAACTCAAAGAATTGATTCCAGGTGCAGAGCTATGGCCAAGTTTTGAGCGCAACGCATCTGAGCAATACGAAGCACGTGTCTGCATGGTCGAAGTACTGGACCCCAAGGGCCCCAACACGCCACCATCAGTCTTCCTCCACGGCATGGCAGGTTCTAAGCTCCCCATCGTCACAGCCCACGGCGAGGGCCGCGCTCACTTCTCCTCGTCGGCGTCTTCACCATCCACACCTCAAACGTTGTACAACGAGAACCTCGTTTCTCTCCGTTACATCGACAACTACGGCAAGCAAACTGAGACATACCCTTACAACCCCAATGGCTCACCAATGGGTATCACCGGTGTACGAAGCGCCGACGGACGTGTGCTGGCGCTCATGCCGCACCCCGAGCGAACTATCTTGAAGGAAGTGGCTAGCTATCTCCCCAAGAACAAAGAAGACTGGGATGAACTCGGACCTTGGTCTCGCATGTTCAAGAGTGCTAGACGATGGGTCGGATAAGACAAGGGTAAATGGGTTCAATTGCATTGGTTATAGGTTGGCGTTTTGGCATGCATTATTCTTTGCATAACTATTCTCTTATGATATATGAAAATGATACAATCACGACTGTGGTGGAGATTCTTGAGATTATATCTTAACGGCTCACGCAAAATAAAAAACATAGAGTTTGACTACAGTAACAAAGACTTGGTTTTCTGGTATGAGTGAAATCCTTATTTAGTATGTATTAGTCTGCCTTCTTCTTAAGTTCAAACCGAGCGTTAGAGGTATTGTAAACAGGAAAGAGGCAATGCAAGATAGAATGAAGTCACTGCAAGGCCAATTTAAGAAGAAAGAATTTTCGAAGAAGGAAAGTGATATTATTATGCGTCATGTGAAATATATACTAGGAAAACCTCAGTTTCCAGTCGAAATGCCCGTCGTGAATCCTGGTCAACGTTTTAGTAGCTGGTGTAAGAACCACCAGTGCTTCCTCCAGTGCTGCCACCAGCACCGGCACCGGCTCCAGCACCAGCGCTGGCACCTCCCTTAGCACCACCGCCAACACCAGCACCGCCGCCAACAGAGCCACCGACACCAGCACCACCGCCGACAGAGCCACCGACACCGGCGCCAGCTCCTCCCTTAGCACCGCCACCGACACCAGCACCGGCACCAACAGAGCCACCAACACCAGCACCGGCACCAGCACCAACACCTCCCTTAGCACCGCCACCGACACCAGCACCGCCGCCAACAGAGCCACCGATACCACCGCTGACACCACCGTGGGCACCGCCACCGACACCAGCACCAGCACCACCGCCGACGGAACCGCCAACACCACCACCGACAGAGCCACCAACACCGGCACCAGCTCCTCCCTTAGCACCGCCGCCGACAGAGCCACCGACACCGCCGCCAACAGAGCCGCCAACACCAGCACCGGCACCACCGCCGACACCAGCGCCAACACCTCCCTTAGCACCACCGCCGACGCCAGCACCACCGCCAACGGAGCCACCAACACCAGCACCAACTCCGCCGTGGGCACCACCACCGACACCGGCACCACCGCCAACGGAGCCACCAACACCAGCACCAGCACCTCCACCAACGGAGCCGCCAACACCAGCACCGGCACCACCGCCGACACCAGCGCCAACAC